TGGTGAAACTGCGCCTGCGACTCTCAGGGGAGCTGGGCTTTTCCTTCTTCAGCAGCCCGGACACCTCCAGGGGCGGCCTCTCCCTTCCTCTGCCACAGCAGTGATGCTTTGCCAGCCACGTTTGGTTCCCGAGGAACGACTCTGTGCTGCATAAACTGTGCAGGGGGCTGGGGCTGGTGCATCACTCTGGTTTGGCATCTCCTTGGTGGCTGGGCATCCCACCAGAGAGCTGGACAAGCCCACTGTCCTGGAGCAGGTCTGTACTGGCATTGGGCAGGGTTTAGGCAATGCAGTTGCCAGCTGAGCTTGTAGGAGCTCCTGATCTTTAGGGTGGGAGAGGGAATAGCTGTTTGGGAGCCATGGGGAACAAATATGACAGGCAAGTCCTCCCCGAGGATGGTGTGCGCTGAGCAAGTCCACTTAGATCCTAATTACAGTGAGATTTTTGGTCTTCATGGTCATTAAAAGTCAGTCACGACCTGCTGCCAGCCCTGCAACACAGAGCCCTTGGCAGCCTGGCATGCCCTGGCATTGCAGAGCAGGTGATTACACAGACAGTGCCATGCAGTGATGAAGTCATGACCTGATTATTCATGCCCTCTGAAGAGCAGGTCAGGCTCCATGGGAATTCCTCCTGGAGCTGCTAAGTGTAATTACCAGTCAATCAGCAGGGACCTGTAATTATAGCAGTCAGAGAGTATTTTAAGTATGGAGAGTTTTCCCCAAAGCTGTGCCCTGCATCTCTGCTTGTCAGAGCCAGGGACAGCAGTGACCAGGGAGCCCTAGTCACTTCCAGCCAGCATGGATGGGGCCAGACTCGCTTTGGAATAGCCAGCAGAGCGGTGGTCCATCAAGGACCTGAAACCAAATTACAGTTTGTCAGAGTCCTTGGGGGATCACTGAATACCAGGGCATACCCCTGCCTGTGGATGCCCTGCTCCCATGGGGCATCATGCTTTGCAGACACTACTCATTTTCCCTCTTGCCTCTCTCTTCTGCAGGGACCTGAGTGAGAACTTCATCCAGGCCATCCCCAGGAAAGCATTCCGTGGGGCCACTGACCTCAAGAACCTGTAAGTCCTGGCAGTGTTGGGCATGAGGGAGTTTGGAATCAAGTCTGGTGACAGGAGGCATCAGAAGCCACTGGTCACTGTGCTGTTCCAGAAATTCTCCCTCTGTATTTCTCTTGCAGGCAACTGGACAAGAACCAGATCAGCTGCATTGAGGATGGTGCTTTCCGTGCCCTTCGGGGGCTGGAGGTCCTGTAAGTGGCCCAGGGCTGGCTGGAGATTTCAGCCTGCAAGCCCCATGCGGAGTGAGGGTGTCCGTGAGTGTCCCCACTCACTGGGGTGCTGCAGGGACATCTCCAGCATACCATTTCTCCTTGGCCTTGAGGAGGAGCTGAGCAGGGGTCTGGTACCACTGCTGCAGAGCTGTGCTCCAGGGCCTGATCCTGTCCCGAGGACCACTTGGCTGCAGCTGGCCGTGGAGAGAAGAAACCTGGAAAGGGCAGCAAGTCCTGTCTGGGGGTTTGGGCTGTCCTCAGCCCATGCTTCTCCATCCATTCACCCTGTGCCAGGGTGTGGGTGGGTGCTGTTGTTCTCAGAAGTTTGGTGCAACGTAGACTGTCTCACAATCCCTCTTTATAGCCTATCTGCCCTGACCTTCCACTCTTTGTCTTCCTGCAGAACCCTGAATAACAACAATATCACTTCCATCCCTGTGTCCAGCTTCAACCACATGCCCAAGCTGCGGACGTTGTGAGCACTGGGGTCGTGTGGGTGGTAGGGACCTCCTGGGCTAGAGTGGGATGTCCCCAGCTCTACTGCTGGTGCTGGCAGCTCAGCAGTGCTGGGACAGCACTTTGGGGAGGGGATGGAGGGGACACCCATGCAGAGCATCCCCAAGCACTGCCAAGCAAACCTTGGCAACTGGCACAGATGCTCTTGGACTCTTCCATGTTTCCCTCTGTATGCCCCCAGCCTTTGGGATGAGCCAGGCTGGGGCAGTTGGAGAGCAGTCAGGTGGGCAGGAGGTGTCCTGTGGCTGCTGACTGCTCTATCTGCTTGCAGCCGTTTGCACTCCAACCATCTCTTCTGTGACTGCCACCTGGCCTGGCTCTCGCAGTGGCTGCGCCAGCGCCCCACCATCGGGCTCTTCACCCAGTGCTCTGCTCCTGCCCAACTCCGTGGCCTCAATGTGGCTGAGATCCAGAAGAATGAGTTCAGCTGCTCTGGTGAGGGGGACAAGGGAGGTGGGGGGTGCCAGGGCAGGCACACAAGCCAGGGGAACAAAGCTTGTCCCATCGATGCAGCCCACCTCCACTCTCTGCCATGTGCCCCAGCTCAGAGCCTGGATGCATCCTGTGGGTTCATCTCAGGTCAGCAGAGTCCTTGGTATGGGAATACCACCACCCTGTCAGTGTGTCAGAGTGCATCAGTCTGCACCCTTGGACCTGTGTGCCTTTTGCATGGCATTGGGATGCACCAGGACCTTGTGCACCCACTCAAGGGTGCCACAAACTGGCCCAGCACACTGAGCTGTCACCAGGGTCCCTTCCTTAGGGTGCTGCCACTATCTGCCTGGCCCAGCTCTTTGCAATTCCAATGCTCTATGCTTCCCTGGCAGGACAAATGGACCCAGCACGTGCCCAGCTCTGCAGCTTGTCCTCTGGCTCCTGCCCGGCCATGTGCACTTGCAGCAATGGCATCGTGGACTGTCGGGGCAAGGGACTGACAGCCATCCCGGCCAATCTGCCCGAGACCATGACAGAGATGTGAGTATGGCCACACCATCACTGCCAGTGGCTCAAGGCAGTAGGGACAAAGGAGCAAGCCCCACAGCTCAGCCACCCCACAGGGCATCAGGCCCTTCCTGCCCTTCTCTCACTCTGCCCAGATTTAGCCCTGGATTTAGCTGCATTAAAAATGTAAATAGAGAAATAATCTCCTTAGGGAAATCCAATTATGGTGCAAAACCCCCAGTGGGACGGTACACAAAGCCCAGACTCAAGGTGCTGGAGAAGGAGGTGCTCCCCCCACTCTAGCCACCATGATCCCCCCCACTCATGGCATCCCTCCCTGATGGAGAAAGCCCCAACCCCACAGCATGCAAGGTGTCTCTGGGCAGAATGGTGCCACACCTGTAGGGTAACTTACTTCAAGCTTAGGGGCCCTGCAGCCCCCCCCGGCTCAGTGGGGTAATTGGCTTGCCCAGCCCTGAAACCCTCATCTCTCCTCTTTGCAGACGTCTGGAACTCAACGGCATCAAGTCCATCCCCCCAGGTGCCTTCTCCCCCTACAAGAAGTTGCGCAGGATGTAAGTGTGCAGCCTCTACCAGCTTACCCTGAACCCCAAGCACCCTCCACCCCACTGGCCACTGATGTGAGCCTGCAGCACTCAGCTCAGACAGGCTTGGAGCACCTGCCGTGGCATGGGTGCCCCATATGGCAGCACTGGGACAGGGTCTTGGATACCCTCAACTCTGTATATTGGGTGTTGGGGGTAGTCCCCTGGATCCAGCAGGAGGATGGGGACATGAGGCAAGAGAAGAAGGAACCAGACCACCCTCTCCCTTTGGGTTTCAGAGACCTGAGCAACAACCAGATCTCGGAGATCGCCCCTGACGCCTTCCAGGGGCTGCGATCGCTGAATTCCCTGTAAGTGCTTGCACTGGGGTGGGTGGGGTGAGGTGTACACAGTGCACCCTTAACCACAGCCCACACCACTCCCCCCATTTCTCTCACACCAGCCTTTCTCTCTCAGGGTGCTGTATGGTAACAAGATCACAGACCTCCCCAAGGGTGTCTTCGGGGGACTTTTTGCCCTGCAGCTGCTGTAAGGCACCAGAGTTTCCACAGAATGCTTTTTGGGGACACAAGGAAGCAGGGCCGAGGTCCCTAGCACCCATGGTGCAGTGAAGGGGCTCCTCAGACTCACATCCCTCCCTCCCTGCCAGGCTTCTTAATGCCAACAAGATAAACTGCATACGAGCGGATGCGTTCCAGGACCTGCAGAACCTCTCACTGCTCTCACTCTACGACAACAAGATCCAGAGCCTGGCCAAGGGCACCTTCACCTCCTTGCGGGCCATCCAGACCCTGTGAGTGCCCACACCAGCTGGCACTCAGGCGAGCATTTCAGGGGGGAAGCATTTCAGTGGGTAACCAGGGCTGGAACTGATGATTACCCACTGCCCCTGGTGGTGTGTTACCCACTGTCCCTGGCAGTGTGTCACCCAGTGTCCCTGGCACAGGCACCTGGCCCAGAACCCCTTCATCTGTGACTGCAACCTGAAGTGGCTGGCAGACTTCCTCCGTGCCAACCCCGTTGAGACCAGCGGAGCTCGCTGTGCCAGTCCCCGGCGCCTAGCCAACAAGCGTATTGGCCAGATCAAGAGCAAGAAATTTCGCTGCTCGGGTGAGAGCTGTCCCCATCCTTGTCAGGGGCACCCTGCGGCATGGATGTTCTTGGCCCTGATCCAGCCTGGTGTCTGTGTGCTCAGGGTGCTGATGTGCTTGTTTTTCCACAGCCAAAGAGCAGTATTTCATCCCAGGTGAGCAGAGGAACCACACACATGTGCATGGGTATGTGCATGGTGCCGTTCTGGCCAGGCTGCCTGCGGGGGTGGTTTTGCCAGAGCCCCACAGTCTGACCCAGCAGGAGCACACTGCCTTTCCTATCATTTCTGATTTCTGAGTTCCCAGGTGCTACAGTAAAGGAAGCACTAGAATGTGTTGGCTTCTCCCATTGTGCCATCATCTGGATGGGCACAGAGGTGTCCCCAGGGTCCAGCTCTGGTTGCAGGAGGGTGGTGGGCAGTGCAGCACCCCATGTACCCAGGACAAATATCCCTGCAGATAAGCTGCTTTGGGTGCAGAATAATATGTATGGAGGGGCTGGGATGAGGGGAGCTGGGAAAGAGACCGAGACCAGAAGGGGGTGTGGGAGGATCAGAGGAAGGAGGGGCAGGTGCTGCTCCTTGCGCCTCTGTTCATGGGAGCCCACACTGCCCTCACCATGGTGCAGGGACGGAGGATTACCAGCTGAACAGTGAGTGCAACAGTGACGTGACCTGTCCCCCGAAGTGCCGCTGTGAATCTGGTGTGGTTGAATGCTCCAATCTGAAACTCACCAAGATCCCAGATCGCATCCCACAGTCCACGTCTGAGCTGTAAGAGTCTGCCCTCTCCCACCCTGCTTCCCCTCCTCTGTCAGGAGTATTGCTGGTGCTGGGGTTTGGCTCAGGCTGTGCCAGGCTCTTTGCAGTCATCTCCTGAGCTTTTTTCCCTGCTGCCCACCCCAGGCGCCTGAACAACAATGAAATCTCCATACTGGAGTCCACTGGCATCTTCAAGAAACTCCCACATCTGAAGAAAATGTGAGTAGCAGGCAGGCACAGCCCTGTCAGGAGTGCCCACGGTCTGGGAAGGCACATGGGAGTCCTGGTGCCAAGGCAAGCTGAGGCATGAAATGCAGGGCACGTTGCAGCCTGAGGGACTGGCATCACAGGGTGCTCAGTGGTACCTGGGGGAGGCGGGGTTCAGGATGAGGTCGGGGCAGAGCCACCATCCCAGCCTGCTTTCCCTTTTTCGCAGCAATCTCAGCAACAACAAGGTGTCGGAGATCGAAGATGGGGCATTCGAGGGTGCATCTTCTGTCAATGAGCTGCACCTCACTGTCAACCAGCTGGAGTCTGTGCGGAGCAGCATGTTCCGGGGCCTGGATGGGTTGAGGACACTGTGAGTCCTGCTTCCACCATGAGCACAGGGGTGGGGACATCCCTACTCCTTGCCTCCCTGCCTTGCCTGCGGCCCTGGGCTGGTGCTGTCTGCATCTTTGCAGGGCCAGCTCAGGAGTGCCTTGCCCATCAGCTGGCTTTATCCGGAGCTGGGAGAGCAGGGTTTTGCTGCTCAGGGACTGGCTGAGGCTCATCCTGCTGCTCAGCAGTGAGGTGG